TCCCGGTAGGATCAAGAATATTCTCCACGTCGTCCAGATCGGCTCTGGGATCCACCTAACCTCCTATCCAATTGGTACCGGGGGGCTCTTTCCCGGGGTTAAAGCGACTGGGGCGTGAAGCTAAGCACTCACCTCCAACTAGTGCCGAAATGAAGAAAACGTGGATTTGTACATCCACTTTCCCATACACCTTCATGGCATAGTGCTTAATTAGTTAAGCACGGGGACAACTTTACCTTTTCAATTATACCGTACACCTTTAACTTTAAGTACTCCTGTAACTACTTGAATGTCAGATGCGCTGTAATGTACGTCAGAAGGAAGTTCGCCTAGGACCTGGGCAGCAGCCCCCCTCCCCCACACTCCCTTAGTAACTATCTACGGGACCACTCGACGTCACATTCCAGATGAGAGTGATCTTCAGTGACGTCTTCAACGTCGTCATTGGTGCATGGATATGAGTGCGCTGCTTTCTCTTGCATTCAGCTACATGAAGCAACGGATGTGGCATGATATGCCCACAGCATTTATCGTTGTGAGGCCGCAGATGATTTAGCTTGTAAACACGAAGTTGGTCGCCTTGTACGCACATTGCAACGAAACAACCGCGAACAGTTTTAAACACTCTACTAGCAACAAACAGAGAGACTTGCTGACCGGAATATATTATATTACTGAGCTACATAAAGTGACCAAGAAACTACTCGTGTAAATTGTTAGCGGTTTAGGCCTACGTCGGATTGTTGACTCCCTAACAAACAGTCTATGATAAGTTACTAATATTCACATTGCCGGGTTAGATCAGTGGTCTGTTCCGGCTTCAGAATTCACATAGTTTTCTTAGTTCCCCACAGTATCTCTCTCCTCTTGGGTTATACAGTATCTTACCGTAAAAGCATGAATTTTGATATATTCTAGGATTTACCTAACAGTGTTGGTATGTTTGTAAAATTTTAATTTATAAAACCGAAAATATAGAAAAGAATCGAATGCAAGAGTGAGTTACTGAATTCATACCCTTCTCCATATTTTGCATGTATATCTTTGTAGTCTGTACCTTTAAACTCTTTCTCAGTAGCAGAAAAGCATTTTCTAAGCATTATCGTCTTATCATGGAATTTGAGGTTTTGCCAATACTGAGTGCTAAACCCCGAAATGAGATGCGAATACTTGCTATTTCGGGATATTCCCAACTCTGTTTGGTAAAGCATAGGTTCGGCGAGTACATCCTTGGTTTTGCCAAATTCCCGCTTGTGCGGTAACATATACCGGGTGTCCGGATGAAAGGTATCCAAAATAAAAAATGTATATGTCAGAAACGGTCACACACGTATCCAGTTTGTGTCATCGGAAAGGAAAAATCTTAAAGTTTCTTTTTTAGTGCACGCGCCGCCATATTTCTGGCACCATGTTGGGAATCACCTGGACACAGAGATGGCTAGGAGATAGATCGGCAGAGGTGGGCCAATCGCTTGGCCTCCTAGGTCGCCAGATTTAACCCCAGTGGATTTTTCCATGTGTGGTTATGTGAAGAACATTGTCTGCCAGGTTTAGTTTAACGAGCTTCAACACCTGAAAGTCCGCATAAAGGACGCTGTGGCTACGGTAACACCAAACATGCTTCAAGCCTGGATATTTGTCGTGCCACCAAGGGAGCCCACGTTGAATTTACTGAGAACGTTATAATGCAGAAAAAAACTCTGATAGTTTCCCTTTGTAATGGTATAACTCATAAATGTGTATAATAAATTCTTTCTCAGATATAATTATTTTATTTTGGATACCTTTCATCCGGACATCCTGTATGTTGAAGAACCTGTCTGCACTTGCAAACGTGGCGGTCGTAGCTGATTTTCTCGCACTAGCTCTGTTGCTTACAAAGCCATTATTCGAGCTTGTGGAAGTATGTACTCGCGCTTCTTGCTCGTGAAATGTAACGGTTATACCACCGGTCTTCTGGGATTGTGCAGATGAAATGCCCCGCATCACAACGGCTATACGCTTACGACCATGTAGTCAGTTCCTCGATTCTGGTAACTTGTCATACCACGTGTGGTGAGCATAATGTATATTCTGCATATCTCTGCATTCCATTTTCGGGTATGACCGAACCAATTCTGGCTCCTACTTTGTGTCATAATTTTTAGTTCGAAAATATTTTATATTTCTTGTGCTTGTTTTGTTGTTCGGCTAAAACTCACACCGTAGCAGTTTGTTAAGGGGAAGACTGCATGACTCAGAACAGATAGCGCTGTAGGGTTGAGCACTAATATCATTAAACCAGCTCCATTAGGAGAAGGCATTTTGAGGCATTGTGTTTCTACGAACTTTGGGTTTGTTAGTGTACATTATTCACTGACAAACGTCTCTTCCCCCTCTCGCAGTCAGGGTGCTTGACACTGCAGTACTTTACCGCCCCCACCTGTTACTTTCCAGTAACTTGAACAGACTCCATGTTAGCTCAGAATCAATGTTTGTCAACCGGTGTGACGTGACATACACATATTAAATTCATCTGTAATTCTCCGCATTAAGCAGCAGCTCACAGTTCGACCCGTTTGGCTGCTTCTTTGTTCAACTGTTCCTTCTGATGTGGTTGTGATGTCTGTATAATATAATGTTAATTTTTCATCTCTGTTGCGAAACATGTATTAGTGATGAAGAAAGTCGTCTTCTGGGATCTTGCGCCGTGTATTCTTGGTTTTCGCCGACGTTTCGGAGGCAGTTCACGTGCCCTGAAGATGGAGGTGATACGTTCCTCCGAAACGTTGACTTTCTTTATAGTCATCGCCGTGAAAACCTCAAAACTTACATGTATTATTGATGTTTTAATTGTCCATGTCTTCTATAATAATCTGAAGTTGCATTATTTTTCTTGTTGCTTTATATGTGCTTCGTACTGCCCGTTTTCATAATAACCACTTTCAGACTTTGTATTGTACTTGTCTCTCTAGTTATTTGTTACTCGTTCCTAACTTATTATTAAAATGGAAAGAGACCTGAACACACATCCGTGTCCCATCCACAGAACGCGGAACAAATGTCATATAAATGAATGCCTGAATGTACAAGGGGTGGGCCTTCTTGGCCCTTGCACCGCGACCTACAGTGGTCTATTGTGTTTCCCTTTTTATTATCCCCTCAGCAGCCCCGCGCTTCGAATAAAGCGCAGATTTTTGTACGTGGGGACGTCGAAATAGTCACTTGGTTCCATAAAGTATTGAACAAAGTGACGTAATCTTAAATAAGCTAAGGCCTCACATTCGCACAGGATGTGTGTGTCTGTTTTATTTTCTTCTTAACACCTCTCACAAGTGGGACTATTACTTAGTCCCAGTTTGAAGAGGTGTCCTTTAAGGTGACAGTGTCCTGTAAGTAGTCCCGCCACCCGTCGTTGTCATATAAAACCGATAATAATTTCAAATATGTGATAATGACAGTAACAGAGACATTAAATTTCTCGAGAGCTTGCAGCTGCTCGATTCAGAATCTTTTGCCTTTCCCACGTCTTATCACAAAAGGCAATTCATGTGTCTCAGGATAGG